CCCAATGATCCACCATATGAACGAAAACATTGTGTTTGCAGATTCTAGATGCTTTGCAACACTGCTGAGAGAACTAAAGAGTGAAATAATGAGCATAGAAAAGGCCAATACACTATTAATAAAAGGAATAGAATGTTTTGCCAACAAAATTATATAGCACAAATTTTGTTTAAAAAAGGGTAGAAAGATCTAGAAATCCACCTACTGAGGTCAAATGTCATATTTTCAAAAGCTTTGATTAATGAAAACAGAAAAAAAAAAATGCCAGATTTATCAGGCTTAAATTGAAAAGGTTCCATTCATTATAAGAAGAAAAAAGCATGTCCGAAATTATTTTCTTTTTTCTGATTATTGAAAGAATGTGAGAAGTAGACTTCAAGAGGAATAAGATGAGCATATCTTTTCTTTCATTAGTAGCCTCTAAAAATATACCAACAATCCTCCTTACATTCCACAAAAATCAAAAGAAGATGGAAAACAAATAGAAAAGGCAACAATGGCCAAATGGCCAGATATTTCACAATATAGTGACAATAATGAAATATAATTCAGTAAAACCTACGGATGCGATATAGGCAAACGTAATAGTAACTAGAATATCATTCGCTCAAATCAGACTGAATTTCATATATCTTCAGAACCATATTTTTTATCTGCTCCCTGAAATTTACTTGTCGTCTAGTTGGCATGGTTACTTATTACCGAATCTAACAGAATCAAAAGTGATCAGTCATGAAAATACGATCGACCTAATATACACGTGAATAATGTGACGTTTTAATGAACCTTCCTCAAACCCCATGTTTTTCCCTTCTGTTGGCATTGTAGCATTTGCTAAAGGTATTCTCCTCTCAAAATGAATCAGCAAGACAAAATCAAAGTGCCAACAATTTGATCAAAACAACCACAACGATGTTCAATGCTACAATTGGTCTGTCATTAAGAAGATCATAAAATGACACAACCCACTTCCCTTTCAATCAACGAATAAGAAGACAAACAACCAAATTACGTTTTTTTAAGTCCTCTACATTTTTTTATTGATTCCATCATCATAAACACAAGTATACATTTTGGAATCCATCAGATATCCTATAGGTTTTGGGTTGGATCTTCATAAATCGTGAATAGAATACATACCTTGTGCCCTCATCCTCTCGCTCCAAATGCGCCAAGGTAACATAACGCTCGTCTGAATCCCTCCTCGAGCTCAAACTTCCTTCATCAATAGATGACGAGGAAGAAGAGCGGAATCGCAGCCCCAGCCTCCTCCTCCTCCTCCTCCTATATTCTACGCAAACACACACCATATGCAACGCACACTGCAAAGCGTACCCGACTATCCAGAGCCTCAGGGGCATGCTGGGATTCTCCTCTCGGCTTAATAACAGCACGGACGCCGCTACCGCCACGAACGCGAAGTTCCAAACGATGTCAAGGATAACAACGGGCTTCGAATATGCCCAGTCGCTCTGTCTCTCCTCCAGCTGCTCGGCGGCAGCCTCACGCACTAGCATCGACGGCTCGCGCATCATGCGCCGGCTGCTAGCACGGCGCAGAAACCGCGCTGCTTCCCGCAGGCTCTGCCTCCTTACAGGTCGTCGGCTCGGATGGGTACCGACATTGCTACCATCATCTTGAGACACACCGGAGGAGGAGAGCAACGGCGTCGTGTCTACGATGTCATCAGAAGATCGGGGCGGGGACCTAGCCGGCGATGTTGCGGTATTTGCTGGGACTGTGGTTGACATTCTTGGCGATTATTTCGAACAGTTCAGAGCCCTAACTCCGTGAATTGGATAGGTCTAGACCATGTATGAGAAGTTCTGGAGTTGCTGATATCTCAATGAAATGGAATTTGATTTAGTATTGGAGAGAGAGAGAGATGATTAGGGTTTGTTTTGAGGGGTGTGGGGTGCGTGTGGAACGTTGCCTAAATGTACCGATGATGATAGATGGCAACTAGAGAATAGGGCCTTTTTAGAGAACGTACGCAGAAATATTCGGGAATTTTTTCCAAGCGTATTTCACATTGCTTCCAACCTGATTAATGCTAAAATTAGTATTT